CTTCGATTGCATGGCCGGTCGATTCCTTCTAGTCATATTCGACTGTACTTGCTCTAAGTTTCTTCTAAACATTATGCGTCCATTTTCTACCATCAATCAGGAGTCCGGGTCAGTTGAAACATTAGAAACTCATTAATCGCCTATACGCTGAAGAACACACACAAAACACCAATCATTAAAAATTCCACACCACCGAAGACTTGTGTATGTCGTCCAAGATCTGAGGCACGAACTGTGACAAGGCGGGGTGGGTGCGAGGCACTGTGTGATGTTTTTATGATCTATCTCTTCTTTGACGTATCAGAGCTAGGTAAACGTTGTGTGAACTTAAGCAAAGCGTTGTGAGCCCGGTAGGTATAATACTGGTGCTGAGGTATCATCGTGCCTATTATATTGCGATGCTGTAGTGTAGTCATGTATCATGAAGTTGTAAGGCAAGCTATCAACACCCAACAACACCTAGAATAGTTATTGGAGTGTTACTACTAGTTTTATCATGCATTTTACTGTCTGCATGAGTGAGTACGTGCTATGTACGGTGTATTTATGTTGTGTTGTTGAGCTATGTGGCTCGAATTAGGTCGATAACATTCTACGTTAGTTAGACTATGTTCGAATTAGTTTAAAGTTAGCTTCGTGTGATTGCACGAAGCAGAGAAGGACACATGTTCTTATGGCTAGCGCCAGAAAAAAATATCACGCCCTTCACGATTCGCGATTCAGCGCGGAGGACATCTTCGTCTCCCACTTCTGATTGCGTCCGGTAAGAGGTATTTGAAGCTAATAGCACACAGTTGATCAGAGAGTAGATCAGAGAGTAGAGCTACTCTCTACTCTCTGCTGTGGCGTCGACCGGACCAGCGAGCTCCGCTCGGGGCACTTCTACATAGCTCCATCAGCGGTGCTGCAAGACGAGATATCACACAACCGCTCGGAGCTGGAAGAACCATCCTGAAGGTCTCCAAGCACATGAGAATGATGATAATTCTTGTTCTTGAACGGCGCAACATCTTTATCATAACTAAGACATGGCTCGATGAACATCAGAGTGTGTCTTGGTCTTGTGAACTGCATTTGATTTCGTCGCCACCGTGGGCCTTTTAGCACCGACGTGACCTGCGTCGAGAGATCTTCGCTGTCCTGCAGGATGATCTGGTGGCCGATCAGGATGATCCAGATGATGAATACGATGATCCACAAGTCACTATCACTGATCCCTTGCACTGATCACCAATCCCCGTCATCCAAATCAGCAGCTGGCGATGGTCGGGCGAGGACGATGCCGTCTTCTTACCGATGTACAGAGATGACACGGCAGTGTTTGGAACAACGCCAACACTTTGGCCCTTGTGCAGTGTGCAGTCTCTGGGCGAACATGCCGTCGTTTGATCATCGGCGACAGTGACTCATCGGCCTTGGGATCACTAAGGTTGCGAGAAATCAAGTGTGAACCTCGTCTTGAACCAACATACCATGATGAGAAATAAGTGAGAGTGGCCGTAAGAAAGTAAGAAAGAAAGAAAGAAAGAAAGAAAGAAAGAAAGAAAGAAAGAAAGAAAAAAAAGAAAGAAAGAAAGACAGAAAGAAAGAGCGAAAGAAAGAAAGAAAGAAAGAAATAAAGAAAGAAAGAAAGATAGAAGCGTAACGGAAGTGTAAGAAAGCGTAAACGTGTTAGAACGAAGATAGCAGATAGGCACCTAGCTATGTTGACATTAGGCCTCGGTGGAATGCCTGAGCTCACTCGTGATGATAATGCACCAAATTCAATTGTTATTCTCGATTTGACCTCAGTGACACGTTGCCGGTCACTGAAAAGTTGCTGCTATCATCACAAACCACAGATTGTCGAAATTCACACCATGGTGTGAATGGCATCATGGCAATGTGTGATGCATCACAATGTCTTTTCTATCAATACTACAAGCGTGAAACAGTATGTGCCGGGGACTGAGGATGTAACCGTGTGGACTGCTAGGTAACATCGGCTTCATCAACTCGACGAATTCCTCTATCAGCCACAAGTTCCGCTGTCGACGACCACGTCTCTGCAAGGAAGTCCTCCGATGCAGGGTGCTGCCATCGGCTTGACAGCGCTAAACGCGCTTACAGCCACCCTTTGTGCGACAGTGATTGCACGACCATCGTATGGTCTTTGGTTTCTTGCAGGTGTTCTGTGAGAAGTGGGAATACAAGCGAATCCGTTTGAGTGCATGTTGTGAGTACCTATATGTAGGTATATGGTAACGATTAGAGTGGGATATGTGATAGTATGAAAAAATGGCACATGTTTATCTCAACCTTCGCATGTTACCACTTACAATCCATGATCTCGTTAGGCAATAAGCTCATTTGAGAAAAGTAGCTTCGACATGCATGCACTGCTCCAATTGTTGCCCAATTTGTAACTACTCGAGTATTTGATTTAGCAATGTGTGTTACAAATGTAGATGCCCGTTTGAGAGTCTTTCCAGAAAGACGAAAGGATGAAAACTTAAATTATCTTGACTATAACTTATACTATCGCTTTTTATGTAGGCATATCCGACGATGAACCGCGAATGAAATATCCATTTTCATGCTTTCTCTTTCGGAAAAGACGCTCAAACGCAATATTTATGACCAACAATTGCATTGCAAAACCCGACACAGCGCATTCCACCGACTTTGGACATCGGGGTAGCACAATTAGCATACACACGTCAGCACATGCTCTTTCATCGTGTTATACATATCACACAATGTACGGTTGTCAGCCTGGCTTCAATTTACTCTTTAAGTTAACTCAAACTTAGAGCATTTGCTAGGGGAAATTCTACACGCTCAAAATGTTTTGGTGGCGTTAAAATGCCCGAAGTGTTTTACGACCGCATACATGCGTGTAAAACAAATATCAAGCTGAAAAGCTTATCGGGGTGTGCCTAAGTCTTATATCAGTGAGTAAGATGAGCACTTTAATTCGATCAGCCTGAGTAGTGAGTACCCTGTTGGACTACTGGCTGTTTTGGTAGGCACGCACTGACATGATAATCTGCGAAGCTTTGGTTGCGTTTCAGGATGCCACAACCTGTCATTATTTAATCACATTGTCTCGTGCGCAAACGCTTTCGATTAGGTGCACCATGTACAGTTTCCATGTCCCATGTTCGATTGTTCAAGGCGCTTTTTCATATGCAGGTTGTTTTACGTGTTGGTAATCTTTATTCAGTGTAGGCTAACTGTGCACTGTCGCTGACTTTTGATTAGCTGCTGAGCTAGACCTGTTGTAACGGGTGAGCACTAAAATGTTGCACAAAATTCATTTGTCTTTAAAACAGCTTATATTCAGCAAATCAACATACAACTTTCACAGGCTGTAGACCAGCATCTCCGCTTTCACATGCTGCTTAGTGGACGAGGCATTGGCTCCTGCACGTGCAGCGTGCTGCACGCGCTGTGGTACCCCCTTCATGATCTTGTGCACTACCTCTTGGTCCGTGGAGCTGATGCTCTTCTAGATTTTCCTAATGAGCTGGGTGTCATTCGTCGCATCCCAGCCTCCTGCGTGTGTTTTGGCCTTAATCATCAGACCACTGACGTTCCACATGGGTCTCAGCTGTATGCACTCAGTGGGCAGCATGGCGGGTTGTCACCCTTCAGCACAAACGATATGCTCTCCTGGAGCAGCTCTTGCGTCTCACGAGCGTAATAGCACGATGCCAGGTCCGGCCAGAACAGAATTTCGTCTCCACTGTGTTTTTCTTCGATGAGGAGGACAAGCAACCTCTTGGTCACGCACTCTTTTCGGTAGGTTTGACCACCCAGGGCACCTCCACTTAAACAGAAGAAGGGCTAGAGTACACCTCTTTCGCGGACGGCAAGCCACACAATTATTTCCTTCGCAAACTTGTTTTTTTAATTGAACCGAAGATGCTCAGGATCCCCCTGAAGAGAACCCGATGTATAAAATCCCTGGTTTTTCGGCCACGGAGTGCATTAGGGTAAACGGTTTACTGAGCTCAAGATTTTTTCGTTAAATTTCGCCACCCCTTTTAACAACGTGTCTTTCTTCATTAGCTCCATGTTCACGATAGGCAGAGCAAAACAGCTTATATTGCATATAAACAGAAAGTATTTTTCCCAACCTTTTGCGTGGTAACTGTTGCATTTACGAGTATTAGGCAGTTAATGTTTTATTGGCATACGAAGTTTGTGCAAAATTTTAGAGCTCACCCGTTATGTCTTGTGTTTGTATCTATCCCGTGTAACCCTGACGTAGGTATATTTCACCTATCTTCACCCATTAGTTTGACCCAGTATTCTGGGAAAAGTGTGATGAAATAAACAAATAAACGTACGGCCATAAAGCGTTTCACGGACTGTTGTATTTAGACGGTATGCAATTTAAGTTTAAATTGTTTAAGCACAGTGTCAAAGGTACCTAAAGGAGCACTTCCTAGGACCAAAAGTTTGCTTTTTTAGCCAGTTGTCTGTCCATCTTAATTTTCAAAGAGCGATTTTATGATGGGTAAACGTGCTCTTAGTTAGGATGAATAGGTTTGTCTCTTTCACGACTGTCTTGTCTGTCTACTCTGAATTCTGCGATCAAAACGCCATGATCAGATTATTAGGTATTTCTTTCCATCTTTCGGAAAGTAATAGGCAATACTACAAAAAATGAAACAAGAGAAGGCAACTGACCAAATGACCTTGCTTTGACGAACTCGATCAGATTTTCGCATAGCTAGATGCGCGCAGCTTCTGCTGTGAGCATGCATGAACAGCAACAGCACCCCAGCTAAATAGCTAATTAGACCCTCATTTGCCATCGATAATCATTATTCTACTGTCGTAAATGTCGACGACATATATAACTACTACAACCATTCTTCGAATATTTACGATAGGCTGTCATGCTGCGTATAGTACCATTGATCCGAAGTGATTGTTTACTAACAACACACACGAGTTCTTGGAAGCTACCTGCTAGTTGCTACTGTTTTCCCACGATATACTCACGCACACAAAATATACACGTATATTATGTATGGAGGAACGTACGCAGAATCAGCAATCATTTCAGCAGGCCGAGCTTGTTTTATGCACACGTGGTAACATATGAGCACACCTGGCGAAGACCATATCGCACACAATACCGATCGTACGAAGATACCGTCAATCGTTCCTACAATTAAATAACGATTTGTGGCTGCTGAGAAAAAAGGTAACAATAATTACTGCAAATAATATCGGAGCATAGGGCTAGCTCACGGGCGTCGGGCAGTAACAACTAATTATCAATGACACATTTGAAGTATCGAGGTTTAACATGACTGTTTTGCAAGCCTCATGAGCTTACTTGAACATTAAACATCAACGGCTTAAACATACGTTTCTCCCAGTCACAAGTATGACATATACATCTCTCATAGAGTAGCATTCGTGATTCGGAAGCCAACAACATTGTGAGGATTTTCCCATTATAAACAAAAATAGACATGCATCAACCATCCGTTCAGCAAGACATGTTCTGTGCTAGCAATGTGGTTACTATGAGCTAGCTTTTGATTGGTTGAATGGCCGCTAGGAGCAGCGAGCACGGATGAACGCTTTTGAACTGCATTAAGTGCTTCATCCACATAACAGTGAATGAAGTGGCACACAGTAATGGCTTTGCTGGCATGACATTGACTGGGTTGGGAAGGCAGAGACTTCGCTTACACAGCAATGCCTGTGCTCACAGTAAAGAATGCGCTTACACAGCAATACAATGTAGTTGCACTGACACATAAGACGTCACTGCGCTAACACGTCAGTGACTACACCAACAGTGATTGTCCCCTCACTCACCAATCCTGCTCACTCATACAGCAGTCCCAGCTCGCGGCCGCCTCGCCGCTGACTCCGCCAGCTTACATCGGGTCCCCGTTCCATTAGAGAGCTGGCACACCACTGAATCAGACCGAGTGGCCACACAAAGTGAGGACTCCGTACCGGGAGGGTCACTAAAGAGTCTGTTCAGACAGAGTCCGACTCCTTCGTGTGACTCCGAGTCAGCAGAGTCTCTGTTATCGCTGTCACTGTCAGATTCAACACCTTCTGAGTCAGGCTTGGTATGTCCAAGGTCAGATTCAACACTTCCTGTGTATTGTTGGTGAATTTCACAGTCAGAATCGAAAGACGCTCTCTCAATTCGTACCGAAATTGTTTGAACTCTGTCTTTTGTCTTGTTGGGTTTATCAGAATGATCAGCTGGTTTCTTTGGGCTTTCGTCAGATCCGGGAAGCATGCCGTTAGGTTTAGCATGGCTGCTGGGTGTCCTCTCAGATTCATCATATCCGGTTTTCGTTTTCTCCAGCTTATCAGACTCACTGGATGCTTTGCAAATCTTATCAGATTGACTAGATATGATGCTGATTGTATATGGCTCACTAGACAAGCTTCCCGATCTGTTCGACTCAACAGGGACATGGTTGCCTGCTCCAGCCCGTTCACCACATTTTACCGTAGAATTTTTGTACACAGCAGACCCTCCATTTGAACTTACAACTATACTGCAGGATGAATCCGATTCGACACAATTCCTGCTACCAGACACATTGATTGAATCTCTCGAACTGCTATCACGATCTCTAGACCCAAAGTTGATGCGAAGCTTACCATTCAGAAGACCTGCTCTCGTGTTAGCTTGGGATATTTTCACCATCACATGACTTTTTCGTTTCTCTTTCTCGTCCTCCACTCTACCTCTCCGTCCTCTCTGTCCCTCTTCTTCATCCCCTCTTCCTCTCTGTGCTTCTGTCCGCGACACCAGCGCCACCTGTCTCGACCCGACAGACTTAGACCGCCACCTAACGGACATCTCTGGAGTCCGCCGCGGCGGCGACAGCGACCTTCGTGCCGACACTGGCATTGGAACTGATAGCCGCACTGCCGCTGACGCGTGTCCCGACTGACGTGCTGACGTGTGGGTTGACTGACGTGCTGACGCCGTGGTGGGGACTGTCTGACGTGAGGAGGCTGACGTGGAGCGGCTGCGCCGGCCGGAGGAGGAGCTCAGAGTGCGCCGCGCCGCCTGACGCCACCAGAGCGCCACCTGACGACGCAGCGCGCGGCGCGTCCCACCGCGGAGGACCAGCAGGAGGAAGATGAGCACGCCCTGCAGACTGTTAAATAAGTCTGCCACCAGCCTGTGGAGAGGGAGGGAGGAGTGTCAGAACTGACCGGGATGGATGGCGATTGGTGACGCTTTTCGACCGTTAGCGGTAAGAGCTATCATGAACAGTGACATTGTATGATAAAAAACGCATCTGTTCGTATGAAAATGTATTTCCTTTGGATAGATCCACAAACCTATTGTCACCAAAACAACTGCGTGTAAACGAAGCAAAGCTCCTGAGAATGCAACACCTGATTTGCCGAGTCAGCAAATCAGACAAATCGTGTTCGGCCGAGACATTGGTGATCTGCCGATCTGCCCTGCTGCTACTCCCAGTCTCTCACCATAGATTGTTTGGTCCGAAATGTTTGGAGAGGCCCTCGGCGATCCATGATACGCCCATTACAACGAACAGGTGCACGTAAATCTTGAACCTGAAACAAAGACAGCCATGAGTTATTTCAATTAAAACATCTACGTAGCATTCAAACCATTGTTTGTATACATTACACATCATGTGACATTTCTGATCTCAAGGTGATGGTGCTGATGTCTTCGGGGTATCGCCTTAGCATCGGCACCCCTTGAGAACCACTGGGTTTGGTGGAACGGCTCGTAAAGCGGCGCTGCCAAGTAGTTTGTATTGCGGTACAGCATACACAGCAGGCGTTTACTACTGCTGCCACCTGTTGAACGTGCGGTAAGCTAAGCTTGCTGTTTCGCCGCTAGGTGAAACAGCACGCCGCTAAGCCCATGCCTCGCTGTGCGGTCTGATCGGGCCACCATGCTGCGGGAGTTATGCCACTGACAAGCAGTTAACCCGCGCCCGGCTGGGGGTCCTGGATTTCCACGCCCTGCTGGGGGGGGGGGGGTGTTTGAACACCCCCCTTTTAACTCGTCTCCTGGGCCACGTACCGATACGCGGAAGGCGGCGTTCGAAAGAGCGTCAAAAATAATGAGGAAATCACTTCGGTCAATTTTTTGGTCAGGTCAAAGGTCAGGTCACCAGAGGTCATTGAAGGCAAAATTTCGCCGATTTCCAGGTCGAATGTCGACAATTTCCAAGAAGCCAACGCATAACTCGGGAACCAATAGAGCTACAGCGCCGCGGAAAAGCGCATTCGATAGCCCTATTAACGCCCTTTCTGAATAACTTTCTCAGATTTGACCTAACGTCAACGGTTTTGCCTGCAGGGGGCAAAAACTGCAAAAATAGCCGATTTTTTCGGAAACAGTTTTTCTGCAATAACTTTTGACCCAAGCCTTGTACGAGCTTACTTTTACCGGCATCGTGTTCCTCTCGTCAAGACGCATCGAATGAACTATAACTTGACCTTGAAAGGTCAACTTGAAAATTTGACCTCAGGTCAAGGTCATGGCCTGACCGGAAAGGGTCATGTTGCATATCAGTCGATCCGTATCGTCGAGCTGAACACATCTAAGGCGTTTTCATCGCTCTAGCATGCCTCTATCAAATGTTATTTGCGAAAAACTGTTAGATACCATTCGTGACCTAAGATGACCTCAGGGCATAAACAGGGGTCACGGACACCATTTTCATGTTCAGTGTGTCTAAACCACTTGTAATTCAGTGTTTGGGAGTGTTTATAATGCCTTTCGTCCAAAAGAGGCGCATTTTAATTTTCTCCCATTGACTTATAATGGGGAGGTCGCAAAATTGACCTGACCTTAGGTCATCGATATCAAAATTCTGAGATACACATTTTGTACATGCTATTGCTCTTAGCAATCGCTGAAAGTTTCAAAGCGATCGGTCACTCGGTGTAGCTATGACAGACATTGAAACTTTTTATGCGGTGAGGTCACTTCAAGTGACCTGGTGACCTGACCTTGAATGACCTTGGTCTGAAATTTTCACAACATGTGTAGAATTGATGTATGATAAGGTGTACCAAAAACGGCGGCGCTACGCGCCGCCGTTTTTGAGATATTCGCGAAAAACCACAAGGGGGGGGTGTTCAAACACCCCCCAGCAGGGCGCGGGTTAAACAATATCAATAAAATGCAATTGGGAAGCCGGTATCAAGCACATACCAACAAAATCATGGAATTATACCAAACGGCCGCGGATGGCCATCGCCCATCTGCATCATCCTTCAGTCTTCACGCTTCCCTTTTCAGTTTGGCGGCCACCCCCACCTGACGACCGGTGCAGTGGCGAGGACAGGGCACCATTGGACTAGACCCTCTCCGGGGTGACCGTGTGAGCGGCAGGGCGGACTGCACCATCGGAACGTCTCTGCCGCTGCAGCGCACCCGTGGGTGGTCCGCACAGTCCAGTGTCTCCTTCCGCCTTATTGTATCATTCCACGGTTCTGCAATGACCTCTACGCAGTAGAAACACAGCAAGCAAACAAAAAATAAACTAACCAAATCAGGTACCTAATTGAGAGAACTATATCAACTTTTAACAAAATTCAGCGCATCTACATACCTGAGGTTTCATAATGCAACATTACCGAAACCAAGTTGATATCTGCTTGGTAACCAAAAGTTAGTATGGCCGATTGATATCTCTATCATTGATCATAAACATTTAAATGCCTTTAGGCGGTAATGCTTAGAATCTTCATTGCTCATATCCCAATTCAGACATTCACATTCATATTGAAAACATTGAAGGCAAAAATTGAAAATGTGATGCGTTTGACTCATCCGAAAGACTCCGAATCGATAAGCACATGATTGACTTAAATCAGCATTCCAAATCATAGCTAGCCAATCAGGCACACCTTTTCGTTAATTGCTTCAAGAGAACATCATATGGGAAAATGTCTGATATATAATGCTGACATTGCTGGCTTTAAAATATTTTTGGGCACACGCCTCATCCTAATTTCCTGCATGTACTATGTAAAGGGATTATGTTTATGTGCTTTGTGCGTCACAACTTCATGAATGCATGGGTTACGTAATTGCGCTTAATTGATTGATCATCAACTGGACAGGTTTTCGGAGTAAATTAATCTTTGAATCTCCAAGAATCTAGTAAGTTTCCAATGAACAATGCAGGAGCCTGTTTGATTGAAACATTGACATTTAAGCGGCATACTTGCCAGTGATTCAGGCCTTACAGAACAAAGCAGCCCCCGAAGTTCAACGATTCTGATTGTAGTTGGAATAAATGAATATGTCCATTGATTCTAAAAAAATCCTTTACATTTTAACACCATTGCGATCTCATTGCATCTCATAACATGAGGCAACACTTTCACCAGAAGCCCACTTTGCGGCGCTGCCGAAAACCCTTGATTATGTAAATATCGTATCATTCACCCACTGATTTGCCTCCAAAAGCCTGCCAATCTGGCGCCAGCCGTCATTTCAGACATGAATCAGGGCGAGCAATGCCGTCACTCATGGTGAGGCGTTATCGACCGGCATTACTCAGGATAAGCTGCGGTCAGATGTACTGCCAGGACCGTTCAGTGGGTGTCTGGGCAGCGACTGCAATTCTCGACAACGGATGGTTAAAAGTCGAGCGCAGCTTTTAGCTAGTTTTAGATTTTCCAAAGGCAGGGATGCCCGGTAGGAGAGACTAAAGGCGAAGTTAGTGGATCAAGCATTAACCCGCGAGTTGCTGGGGGGGGGGGGCGTTAAACGCCCCCACTTTTTTCGCTGGGCCATAGCATAAAAACGGCGCGCCGCAGGCGCGCCAAATTTTGGGTACCTGTAGGAAATTGAATGAAGTGTATTGTGACAAAGTTTCAAAAAAAAAAAAATCGGTCGGAAAATTTTTGAGATATCGAGGTTTTAAAGACGTCATGATTTCTGAGTTTTCGACCAAAAACGGCATATGTTCAAAAAATCATATAAAATCACAGAATAGACATACAGATATGCCGTAAACGCCATTAGACTGTCAATACCATGAAAAATCAAATGGCTATCTTCGATTATTGATTATCGTTCCGCACTTTCCAAAATCTTGAACTGAATCTTGGCAATTTCTCGTGACTACTTTACGACCATGATACATGCATTTCTTAAATTGAACTTTTTGAGCCAAACACGTACACATATGATAAAATGAATGTCACCATCGTGTTCTACGCCCCAAATTCCCATAAAACATGTGTCACAGGCTGCGAATATCAGTTTTGATTTTCGGGGATATTTGCCTACCCGGTTGACCTGACCTTGACCCTGACCTATGCTTGACTGACCCCTACATGGAGCTGACACTCTTGTAGGCCTTATATGATGGATTGTGCACCGTTTTGACAGAGTTTATGACGAGAGGCGCCCATTGCGAAGTCCTGAAGTCCATGCTACTGAAAGCCCGATTTCAGGTGTTTGACCTGACCTTGACCCGACCTGTGACCTCAAAATTCAACTTTAAAGTACTCATCTGAAGCGTCTCGTCGCGTTCTTTCGTTTGCCGCCTCGTGCGTTTCGCTGCGCCTATTGGTTCTCGAGTTATCGGATGGGGGCGTTTAACGCCCCCCCCCCCCCCCCCAGCAAACGGTGGGTGGCGAAATACCCCAGCAACTGCCGGGTTAAGCAACGTTCGTAGCCGTACCAAGGAGGTTATGACAAATGTGTCTGCTGATTTGTGCAGAGGGAGAAAGAGCGGAGGGAAAGTATGATGATGAAAGGAAATGTAGGGCTAGGAATGTGTGAGGATGCGGGCTGGTGTGCAAATGCAATGTACTGCCTGATTCTTCAGTAGCATAGTTACTGCAGAGAAGCCGTTACGATGACCAAAAGCATGCCAAAAGTAATCAACGGAGCTGGCAACTGATCCCCCCCCCCCCCCCCCCCACACACACACACGTCCATACCACCACCACAGTGACCACCACTCCCATCCCCCCTCATACCCCTCCATACCTCACCCACCTCTCGACGCCTCTCTTCCTGCTCCGCACTCTCTCCGCGTTCTTCTCCCCCCGGCGCAGATTACAGGCCGTCACCAGGAAGAAGAACAGGTTGGCCGTCATCAGCGCCAGGATCGGCCAGTGGAAATAGATCAACATCTCCCGACTGCCTGCGGGACAAAACGGAGAAAATCTCCAGAATATGTATCCAGACATTTCTAGACTGCCAGTAGAAACAGCAGATAATCATCTTCAGAAAGCATCTCATTCTCAACACAACATAGTCAGTCAATATCTCCAGACTGCTTGCAGGAAAAAATAAACAAACAAAAAATATCCAGAAAATGTTTCGAGACATCTTCACGCAACATATGGAGACAGCCTGAGCCAAAGGGATGAAGTAGGACGGCACTACAATCAAAACGCAAACCGTAATGCACGCCAGTGGAAGAACGGGGAAAAGAGCCTCCTAACAGCATACCCCGTGTGATGAAGTCACAACCACCTTGGGTGAGGTCAGTTCATTCGACGTTCATTCGGCATGTAATGACGACGTCACTGTCCGGTCATATGACGAAACAACCGGATAGTGGGATGACGTCACACTTCGATCAGATGACGTCACTCCGTGATCTGATTACGTCATTTAACCTTATTCGGGGGGGGGGGCACAATAGATCCACAGATGTAATCGGCGATGCGTTACCGCAAACGGCGTCGACAGGACAACACAATATCGCGGTGTTTTGTGGCAGCAGCATGGTGCTTTTTGTTGTTGTCTATCTGGGACATAGATAACAGTCGCGGCGGAAATGACTGTTGGTCTCTTTGCAGTCACATTCACATGCTTTAGGCATTTGTCATGTTTTTGTAAGGTAATTATGCACGGGCGTAGGAACGTCATGAAAAGTGGGTGGGCCACCCTGTCAAGGGGCCTCCTTTTCCAGGGGGCCTCCTATTTTCAGGGGCCTCCAACTTTTGCCTCATCTGCTGGCTGCTTTCAAGTATGACCTCCAAATCTAGCTTCTGAGATCGGGCAGATGTACCCAGGGGCGTAACCGCTTAAGCGAACGGTGCGGAAAGTCCGCACCATTTTTAAGACTTATTCCCGCTCCGATTTTTTTTAGAATCTATTTGCCGCAAACGGCGCATGACCCCTGAAAACCCTTACACAAATGTCTTCCTCGTTTCCCAGGTGCCCCCAATAGCTTCATAGGCGCCCTCTTTGGCATATAAGCGCTCTATGTATAGTCATCAGTGACATCCCTATGTCCCACAGTCGCCCCGTTGTCGCATACAATGTGCGCTTATCATAGGCGTCTCTCTTTTATAGACACTTGAAGGCGCCTCTCTTTGCCATGTCGGCGCCCCTGTTTCTTATGAATGCACCCCCATGGCATTGATCAATTGCAGTCGCAGACCTCTACTGCATGTGGACGCCCATATATGTAGGTCTCAGAGGCACCCCTCTTTCGCATTGAGGCGCCCCTAAGGGCTTCATAGGCGCCCCTCTATTGCACGTAGGTGCCCTACTGTCTCAGAACCGCTCCCCTTTGGCATGCAGACGTCCATCTTTCGACGGAGGAGCCGCTGTGGTTCTTAGAGACGGCATGTTGCTCCCAGACGCAGATGGGGCTCTCGGAGTCGACAGTGTGGGACCTTCAGTCGCTGATGGGTGCCCGCCAGATGTGGACCCTCGGAGACGCCGGTATGGGGCCCTCAGAGATGCCGGTATGTGGCCCTTAGAGACACCGGTGTGGAACCCTCAGATACTTCAGTGTGAAGCCCTTACAATTGCTGGTATGGAGCTATGAATGCGCTGGCTTAAATCCCTCAGAGGCCGGTACATGGACATTAGAGCTCAGTGAGAGCTTGTGTGGTGCCTTCAGTGGCCTTGTGGAGCCGTTAAACATCAACATGGTGCTCTCAGGAGCCGGTGAGTCCTCAGAGTCACCGGTGTGGGGCCTTCAGAGCTCCGAGATACTGGTGTGGGGCCCTCAGAGGTGTCGGTGTGGGTCCTTCAGATGTACATATAGAGCCTTGAGATGCACAGGTGTGGTGGTCCACAGAGGCGCCGGTGTGGGGCCCCCGGAGCCACCGATATAGGGCCCTAAGAGACACTAGTATGACCTGACCCTCAAAGGCGCCGCTGTGTGGCGCTCATAAACACTGGTGTGGAGCCATCACAGGCGGGTGGAGCCGTTAGAGGCCGGAAAGGGTCCTTAGATGCCTACAAGGAGCCTTCAGAAGCCGGCGTGGTACCCTTATGGGGATAAGCGTGTCTACTTAGGAGCCCTTGAGGTGCTCTCATGAGCTCTGTGGGGCCCTACCGAGCCGAAATATGGCCACGGCCAGTTGCCGCCGCATGGCTCTTCGGACTATCATTCTCAGGGGCCTCATCTGCCTAGTTTGAATAGAAGGGCCTCTCAGACAATCAGTATCATGGGCCTCCTCTGGCTAGTATAAATAGAAGGGCCTGTTAGACCATCAATCCTAGGGCCTCTTCTGGTTAGTATAAATAGAAGAGCCTCTCAGACCATTAATCTCAGGGGGCTCCTGTGGACAGTATAAATAAAAGGGCCTCTCAGACCATCAGTCTCGGGGGCCTCCCTAGAAAAGTGTAAATGTGGATAGACGGCCCCCTCAGATTCATTAGGAGTGGACCTCTCTGACTATCAGTCTCAGGGGCCTCTTGTGGCCAGTATGAATATAAGAGCCTCTCAGACCATCGGTCTCAGGGGCCTCTTCTGACTAGTTTGGATAGAGGGCCCTCCCAGACCACCGGTTTCAGGGGCCTCCAGTGGCCAGTTATATGAACAGAAGGGCCTCACAGCCATCAGCGTCGGGGGCCTCTTCTGACTGGTGTGAATATGAGGGCCTCTCATACCACCAGTCTCAGGGGCCTCCTCTGCCTAGTGTGAATATAAGGGCTTCCCAGGCCATCAGTCTCAGGGGACTCTTCTGACTGGTGCCGGATTGAGGGACCTCCCAGACCGAAAGTTTTTGGGGTCTCCTGTGGCCAGTATGAATAGAAGGGCCTCTCAGTCCATCAGTTTCATGGGCCTCTTCTGCCTGGTGTGATTATAAGGGCCTCTCAGGTCATCAGTCTCAGGGGCCTCCTCACTGTAGATGGATAGGCCTCCCAGACCATCAGTCTCAGGGGCCTCTTCTGACTATTGAGGATAGAGGGGCCTCCTATGACTAGTGAGGGAAGGGGGCCTCGGCTAGACCGCCAGTGTCAGGGGCCTATTCTGACTAGTGTGGATGGAGGGGCCTCCCAGACCACCAGTCTCAAACCTCTGACTAGTGTGGATAGAGGGGCCTCCCAGACCGCCAGTGTCAGGGGCCTCCCCAGACCAGTGTGGATATTGGGGCCTCCTCAGATCCACTAGGGCCTCTCAGGCCATCAGTCTCAGGGGCTTCGACTGACAAGTATGAACAGAGGGCCTCCTTGGATCCATCACGGCCCCTTGGAGTACGTGCGTGGGGATTCGTGGAACTTATTTTTACCGAGTTTGTTTATTCTGGAAGGTGACGACGTCCTCCAAATCGAGACGAGGGGCCTCGAGTAAAAAGTGTGTGGGCCAAAACACATGTTTGGCCCCCCCACCTCGAAAAGTGGGTGGGCACTTGCCCACCTGGCCCCCCCTGTTCCTACGCCTATGTAATTATGCATGAACCTCCCAAAGTTGCGCTTTGTATGCCTTCCTAATGCCTTATTTCACTTTAGATGCGTGGTTTAGTCTTCGCTCTTAATTTATCATGTAAGTCCAACGGTTACACCAGGCACTAAAGCCATCAGCATTAGACGTTGCATACCTCAGCTATAACAATAATCTTACGGCAATTGAAGCATATCGGCGTCACACCTATCTAAACTAACTGGTGTGACACTACCCAAACGTACCCTCCAGACTCAGTCTCCCTTCCCCCTTCCATAGGCGGATCCAGAAGGGCGGTCTTGGACGCTGCGGGGAGAGGTAGACCCCCCCCCCCCCCAAAAAAAAATCATAAATTAAAAAACTCCTCGGATTTGGATTTCTTTCACACTGCTATTTGGATTTCTTTCACACTGCTATTCAGTTTTGAGCATACTTTTTCCCTCATAGAAGTTGTTCATTTGTCTTTCATTCTAGAAAAGGAAACACTGTCATCGAATTCGGGCGCCACGGGGGGGGGGACGGGCATTCGCCACGGGGGACCCGCCAGTGCCCCCTCCCCACCCCCCTCCCCCACCAACGCTCCTGCCATCGTCACGCCTGACGCCTGAGTGATGTGGGGGGGGGGGGGGCGATCACTCAGAGATGCCAATGGCAGATCTGGTTAGCATCGAACACTGGCGCAAGTCACGTGACCCAAGACACGCCTCTCGATGTTACACTGGTGTACAGGGTGGAAAGTAATTACGCGAACATACTTTTTCGTCTTCTAGTAATGAAAAAAAAGCGGTGACATAAACAATATATGTTTTACTTTATCCTTATCTAGTTGCGATGCATTGACATAGGCGTTCCGGCATGATTTACATCAGCATGTGAAGATCTGTTGGCCAAAGCTCAGCCCACACCTTATAGAGCTGTCCAGTGAGGTAATCGGTATTGGTGGCTCCTTGCAGCTTTTAGACGGTCTCCTGAGGAGTCATCTGGAGATTTTTAGTCGAATTAAGGCCCAGGCGTTTCCCAGATCAGCTTTTGTATGTCCTGAAGAAAAACAGGTTCTCACAGCACCAGTATTGCGTTTTATTGGCCGTGAAAGTAAGGATTTCACCAATCACGAAGAGCAGTTTCTTTGCGTCGGGCACAAAAGTGCGCTCAATCATTTTGCCCCTTTCGTTGCACGGTGGATTAGACAGAGACACTCGTCTTGGAGGATGTTCCACCGGTTGTATACTTTATTTTTAGTGACCTTTTTTAGCGCTACACGCAATTCTGACACCACCCGGGGGCTCGTGACCCACTGATGTGTTCCTTTGCCGGATGTTTGAAGGTTGGGACGGACGGGACATAGGACGCAACAGCAGCCCTCAGAGCAGTTGTTCTGCAGGTTTGACGGATGAAACAGTTTCACAGATGTCTCACCCAACCACAAATCCAGCTGCCTGTCCTCCTCTGTTCATCTTTGATTGTCTTTGAAAAGCTTCAATTAACAATTCTGCTGTTAATTCGTGAAT